TGGGAGATGTCTATCTGCTCCTTCAAGGAAGCATTGTTTTTGATCTCATTCCCCTTCTTGCGCCTGTTGCAGGTGGTGGCAATGGTGATTATAGCCACCAGGAGGAGGGTGCAGCTGCCTGCCAGGACGATGATCACGATCAGAGGGATGTCCCACTGCAATGCCTTTCCTTCCCAGGAGCTGGGCTTGGCTATCTCCTGGATACTGGAAGGAGCAGTGGCGGTCACCAGGAAGTTGACTGTGGCAGTCGTGGCGAGGCGGGGTCTGCCGTTGTCTGTCACAGTGAGGATGACCTTGAACAGCTGTCCCAGCTCTTCAGAGAGGTCGCCCCTCAGCACAATGTCCCCAGTACTTGGGTTGATGGTGAAAAGGTCCTGCTGGGGCTCTTCCAGGAAGGCGAAGGTGAGCTCAGCATTGGCCCCATCATCTGCATCTCGAGCTTTGATCTGGGCCACCAGGGAGTCGCGGGAGGTCTTGCTGGACACGCCAATTTCCACTGTCCCGTTGGTGAGCACTGGGTGGATGATGACAGGAGGGTTGTCGTTCTGGTCCACCATCCTCACTTTGACAAGGGTGCTACTGGAGAGCTGTGGGGAGCCTCCATCAGTGGCCTGGATCCTCAGGTCCAACTGCTTGAGGATCTCATAGTTGAACGTCCTCAGGGCATAGATGGCCCCGGTGGCGGGGTCCACTGAGACGTAGGTGGAGATGGGGGCCCCCATGACCTGTGTGTCCAGGAGACGGTAGGTTACCTTACCGTTGTGGCCAAGATCAGGGTCGCGGGCCACCACGGTGGTGATGTAGGCACCTGGGGGGTTGTTCTCTGGCACGGCCACCTCGTAGAGGGGCTTGGCGAAGAGTGGTGCGTTGTCATTCTCATCGCTCACCCGCACTGTGTACTGGCGGACAGTCTTGAAGGGTGGAGAGCCCAGGTCCTCGGCCACCACGGTGAGGTTGTACTCGGGGATGCGCTCGCGGTCCAGTGCCGCCGTGGTGACGATCATGTAGCTGTCCTCATAGGCGCGTTGCAGGGCGAAGTGGTCGTGGCCGTG